TTTATGAAGACTCCTGTATATTTGTATATTGTTGTAGTCATACAGGAAACCTGGTAAGTTTAGTATATTTGGGGCTGGGCATGCTGTGTTCTAGTAGTCTTTATTTTAAAGAAGTGTTTGTTTTTTGAAGAAAGTAATTTTAAAAAGAGCCAGTCAGGTGGTGTGGTGGTTAAGGCAGCTAGATCCCACATGGCCGCCTGCATGGTTTGAGTCCTAGACCTGGCGGCTTGAAAAACACACTGGGTATACATGCGTGTGTGCCCAAAATCCCAAAAGGAGAGGAGAGAAGAAGAGACTGTCGTGTGGTCATCCCCTCCACGTTTCTTGCTTTTTCCCTATTTCTATCCTGCCAGTGCTCTATAGCAAGATTTAAAAAGACAGTAATCTAAAAAAGCTAATTTTTTTTGGGGGGGGGAGAGGTTTTCACTGTAGGGCGCGTGCGCTCCCCAGACAGACAGAGAGAGACATAGAGACAGAAAGCGAGAAATTACCCCCCGGGGGGATGGTCACGACACAATCCCTTCTCCTCCATTCTCTTCTTGGGATCTTGGGCACACACGCACACACGCCCGGCGTGAGTTTTAAGGCACCGGGTCCGGGACGCGAACCGCGGTCGACTACGTGGGAGTCCAGTGACATAGCCATTACGCTAACTGCTGGTTCCCAAAAAAGCTAATTATTGACAAAAGAGAACTTTTTCAAAGTTAGGGAATAGTTAAAAAGGATGGGAAAAGGCAATGTGTATGAGATGCAGAAGTTTCTGAGTATGGCTTCACAGAACACCTTACAGAATATAACGTGTGCAGACACGTGTCTTTTGATCTAACACTTCGCTCTTCACAGAGGTGATGAAACTACATTGGGAAGGAGGCTCTGAAGTATGAGACTGGTGGCTGGCTGGGGGTAAGAGCCCTGTTTTTGGTTTCTGACTCTATTGTCTCCGTGGGGTTCACTTGGAAGAGACGGTACCTGGACCTCGCACAATGGCAGATTGGGGCAGAATCAGCCCAACAGACGCTGACTTCTCATCCACTCAGGGAAGTGAGTTATGACTTAGTGGGGAAGGATTTGTGTTCACCGTTATTTCTGGGGACAACACTTCTACCAGGGTTAAAGCAAGTTGTTAAGAGGTGCAGTCATGCTAAGGCCCTGAGGTAGTTCTTGGAAAACCTGATCTCCTCCAGGAAACAGAAACTTTCCTCAAATTGGAAAGACCTAGTCTTTGCTACAACTATCTTGTCTAAAATGTACTACCAAGAGAAGCTCAGTGTGATTCCTGAAATAGTTTTGCACTTTGGTAAATGTCTCTTCTTTCATTGCTGATGTCAACAGTAGATTCTTTTTTTCTTTTTCTTTTTCTTTTTTTTAAAGTGAAAATAAAAGCATTTTTAAAAGCAGGGGTATTTTTGAGGGGAGACTAGTCTTGTTCATGACTGTTTTGCAGGTTGAATGAGTCTTCCTTTCAAATGAGTCACTATTTTCAGTTCTAAGGTAGACAACTGGTATGGCCTGAACACTGGAAAGACACACGTGCTTTTGTTGGTGGGGGGTGGGGGGTTCCAAGAAGTGACTTTAAGCTCTCTTTTTGGACATCAGAAGGGCAAAAGAGATGTATCTGAAACTGACAGTTCCTTGAACATATGCAAATGTCACGAAAACACTTCCTCTTGAGCTGAATGGCAGGCTCCTTTTAAGGGACAGTCAAAAAAACAAAGACTTGGGCCAGCAGGTGGTGTGGTGTTTAAGGTGCAGGACTCCCTTATGGTTCATCACGGTTCAAGTCCCGGACCTGGCGACTTGCTTTCTCATCTTCCCTTTCTCTCTCTCTCTCTGGTGAATTAAAATAGTAATAATAAATAAAGTTAAATAAATAATTAAAAAATTAAACAAACCAACAAAACAAACCCAAAGACTTGAGGCATTTGTCCTCTCCTCACTATAGAAGTCCTTGGAGGGATGAAAAACCATGCAGAAGAACTAGTCCCGGTTACCAGCCTTTGGCATCAGGCATGCTTGACAAAAAGAAAAACCTCACAGAAGTTGTGGTCAGAAGAGATATCGAGTGAGGAGAGACAGAGGCACAGTGTTTCAGCAGTTTCCTGAAACCTCACACCTCTGAGGTCAGGGGCACAGATGACAGCCGGCTCGGGTACTGGGCACAGCCCTCCATCTGGAACCTAAGGAGTATGGTGTACTTCAGTGGGAGCAGTCCCCATTCAAATTTCCTTTATAATTTTTTCCTGTTAAATTAAATCCTTTCAGTGTTTGTCTGTCTGTCTCCAGGCAATAGCAGCAGCAGGGACCAGGCTAGCTTAGCGAAGAGGAGGCAGTGACCACAGGGTATCTGGCGCCGGGAGCTCTGGAATCTATTTTCAAACCATGCCTGAACTAAAACCTCACGTGCTTCTCGTCCAGCTCGCAGAGGCTGAATGAACCACGTGTGGCTCTGTGAGGAGCCACCTGCAGGACTCCCTTATGGTTCATCACGGTTCAAGTCCCGGACCTGGCGACTTGCTTTCTCATCTTCCCTTTCTCTCTCTCTCTCTGGTGAATTAAAATAGTAATAATAAATAAAGTTAAATAAATAATTAAAAAATTAAACAAACCAACAAAACAAACCCAAAGACTTGAGGCATTTGTCCTCTCCTCACTATAGAAGTCCTTGGAGGGATGAAAAACCATGCAGAAGAACTAGTCCCGGTTACCAGCCTTTGGCATCAGGCATGCTTGACAAAAAGAAAAACCTCACAGAAGTTGTGGTCAGAAGAGATATCGAGTGAGGAGAGACAGAGGCACAGTGTTTCAGCAGTTTCCTGAAACCTCACACCTCTGAGGTCAGGGGCACAGATGACAGCCGGCTCGGGTACTGGGCACAGCCCTCCATCTGGAACCTAAGGAGTATGGTGTACTTCAGTGGGAGCAGTCCCCATTCAAATTTCCTTTATAATTTTTTCCTGTTAAATTAAATCCTTTCAGTGTTTGTCTGTCTGTCTCCAGGCAATAGCAGCAGCAGGGACCAGGCTAGCTTAGCGAAGAGGAGGCAGTGACCACAGGGTATCTGGCGCCGGGAGCTCTGGAATCTATTTTCAAACCATGCCTGAACTAAAACCTCACGTGCTTCTCGTCCAGCTCGCAGAGGCTGAATGAACCACGTGTGGCTCTGTGAGGAGCCACCTCACCCCAAGCGGCATTTCTGCTGTCTGGCTGGGTTAACATCCTCTGCTTACAGAGGCTGAACTGAGGGTGTACCGATGAGTAACGAGGGTGCTGGACAAATGGGGACGTCACTTCATTTCTTCCTGTGGTTTTTGGACACAGCTCTGAGGAGGGACTTGTCACCAGGGTCACTTGTTCCTACTCCTGAGGCAGGTGTCTCAGGTTGGTTCCTTGATTGGCACGGAGTGGGGGAAAGGGCAGCAAGTGCCTCAAGTTCCTCCAGGGCAGGGGTCCCCTAGCCCGTGGGGTACAGACCAGTACAGGAACCGGGTCATGCGGTAGGAGGTGAGTAGCAGGCAAGCAAGGCTTGAATCATCCTGAAACTATCCCCTGCACTCCTGTCCATGGAAAAAGTGTCTTCCATGAAACCGGTTCCTGGTGCCTAAAAGGTTAGGGACTGCTGTGGGAATGCTTATGCTATGCGGAAGTGGGGACCTATTCTTTTCTCTCCTCAGTCACATGAGTCTCACTTGCCCCTGCTCCCTCTCCCAGGAAAGTAAGATGGATGGAGACTTTTGAAATATTGATCTACAAAGTGCTTTTCTTTTTTCTTTTTTTTTTTTTAAGAGGTTTTTGCTATAGGGTGCGTGTGCTCGCCAGAAAGACAGAGAGAGACAGAGAGACAGAAAGTGAGAAGAAATCCCCTCCCAGGGGGAATGGCCACGCTGCAATCCCTTCTCCTCCATTCTCCTCTTGGGATCTTGGGCACGCACGCACATGTGCCTGGTGTGAGTTTAAGCCACCGGGTGACTTGAACCATGATTGACTACATGGGAGTCCAGTGATGTAGCCATTACGCCAACTGCTGGTCCCAGCGCTTTGCTTTTTTAGGGTGGACAAAACCACATTGCTCTTCCAAATGACTTTTTCTTTCTTTCTTTCTTTCTTTCTTTTCTTTTTTTTTTTTTAAAGAGAGGTTTTTGCTATAGGGCCCTCGCCAGAAAGACAGAGACAGGAAGAGAGAAATCACCCCACAGGGAAAGTCCCCACCACAATCCCTTCTCCTCCACTCTCCTTTCAGGATTTTGGACATGCACACACATGCGCCCAGCATGAGTTAAGACACTGGGTCCAGGACTCGAACTGTGGTCAACTATGTGGGAGTCCAGTGATGTAACCATTACGTCATCTGCTGGTTCCCCAAATGACTTACCACATATGGGAGCTTGGGAAAGGATCTGTGAAGCAGCTACATGTGCCCGACTTGGGTGCTTCTGTAATGACCCTGGGTCAGGATGGATGGTGGGCATTCCATCCCCTAACTGTAGTGGACATGGGATGGTCGGGTCTTCTTTTGACAAGGAAAACTTAAAAGGTGCTGAGAAAACGCCTATTTTATGTCCACTATTTAATTTTGATACACTGATATTGGAAAAGATTCTACACTCTCCTTCACATTGAAAGGATGAGGAGCAAGGATGAGGGTCATAAATATGGCATCTTTTCAGAGCAGACGGAAGAGAAAGGAGAAAGGGAGAGGAAGCAGGGGGACGTGAAGTACCTGAGCATACTTGCAAACAACCTTCCTTTACCAGTATGCAGTTTGCCCTGGCTTGTTGAGTATCGAAATCTAGACCAAATACCAAGTGCCGTCCAGGACGAGTGGTTAATGTGCAATCACCTTGCAGTATCCTGGCTCCACAGACCGGGAGGTCAGTCCCTCTGCTGTCACCTTTAACCTCAGGAAATAAGGACAACCAGGAGTGGTGGGAGGGGGCAGGGAGAAGTCCAGGTAAAGGACTGAGACAGTGGATCACATGCTTGAATTTACATGGGTTCCCTACCTCCTGGCCCCTGTCCTGCACAGGACACGACTCACTGTCTGCTTCCGAGAATGATCCAGATTCGTCGCTGGAGTTGGTTCCATAAGACTGCTCACATTTTATTTGGGGCCGGACTTGGTTGTACATTCCATCTCCCATCAGGCCTGGTTCCTGATGTTCTGTGGCAAGGAATCTGGCTCCCTGGGAACAGGGCGAGGAGGAGAACTCACAGAGAGGGAGGCTGCAGGGGGAGCCCCCACTTCCGTCCTCTGCGTAGGAATAGGAGGAACAAGAGCTGGAAGTCCTGGTCCTGGTCTCCAGTGGGGGAGAGCGAGGACAGACTTTGATGGGCACTGGGCAGCTGGTGTTGGGCCGCATCCTACCTGGCAGGTGGTCAGCCATCAGCCCGCCGTGGGAGTAGGCTTGTGAGCTGGGGAGGGACTGGCCAGCTCCCACCCACAGACCCTTTGGCACCGGCTCAGAGAGGTCTTTGTCCAAACCGCTCACCCCGGAATACGAATGCACTGAAGTGCTCACTTGGTCGCAAGCGCTCGAGGAGAAGATCACACTCCTCCGGTCCAGCTCTCCCTCCTGTTTACAGACAGCCTCCAAACCAGGCACCCTGAGGGGCGACCCCATGGTGAAGTTGGCTGCCTCCTTCTGGCTCACGTGGGGCTGTCCGTAATTCCCTGTGAAAGGGGTGTAGTCAGTTTTAAGGTCACCCTGAGTGATCCCCTTGTCAAAAGGGCACGCTGAACTCCTGGCGAAGTGCTGCTGCGATGTGCCGGGCAGGCCAGACAACTCCACGCTTTTCGTTATGCTGAACAGAGACCTTAAACAGGAGGGTGAGGACACACTGCTGGGTCCCTCCAGGCAGGTGGCCCCAGCAGGGGTGGCGGGGGCGGGGGCGGG